GACATTTTCATGATTGTTCTCTGCTAAAGTGAAACCACTAAATTGTCTCAGTCATTTTCTATTATTTCTATTGTCCAAATCGTTCAATACAGTCAAAAGTCGTTAATCCGGACTCGTCGGGACTTCGGCGATTCCGGATTATCGATTTTTCCGGATTATAGATCATCAGTTTAAATCTCGTAAGATGGCATGCAGAAATTCTAAAATTAAAAATATGAAACCGTAATTTATAAAATAATGAGCAATTATGATCTAAAGGGTATCAAAATTTACAAAAAAAAAAAAAAAAAAAAAAAAAAAAGCTTAATATTTATTTGTTTACTTTATTAAACATTTCTTTCAATGTAAGTTGTTTAAGTTGCTTCGTTTTATATGATAATACTTTCTCTTTAATTCTATAAACAGACATAATTTCTTTTTCAGTTACAAAGTTCCGCTGTTCAAGTCCTGTTAATTGCTGTGCCGAGAATACCGACTAACTTGTCAATCGAAATTTTTTTCATTTTTACTAACCTCTCTGTCACATTCTTCATGTCTTTATCCATTTTTGCAGCACCATTCCACTTTTTGTTTGTTGGACATCGAAAAACATACTTTCGTTTGTAGATCCTTTGAAAGTTCCAGCATCGGAAATTCTATTTGACATAATCGAAAGTTCAAGTTTACTTTTATAAAACTGCTCTTACGGTCTGCAAAAAATAATAAGCGGGGATCCAATTTGAAGTTTAAGGAAACGCATCATTAAACATAACTGAAATATATAATTAGATAATTTTAGCTTACACCGTTCGTTATACATTAAACACGCAGGCGAAAACGTATTCTGCACTTGCGCACACGCTTATGCGCAGTAGTCAAGGTCTTATGCGCACGCGTAAAACACCTGTGCGCATGTGCCAAAGCGGCGCATGCGCAGAAATTTTTTAGCTTTGAGGTCCCCATTATAGATCATTCCGGATTATGGGTGTCCGAATTAACGACTTTTATCCGAATTAGCGACTTTTTGTGGCCATCAAATTGAGTCCGAATTAACGACTTTTTGTGGCCATCAAATTGAGTGACAAAAGATTTGATGTCTTCAGTAGTAACATTTATAGTACAATTACGAAATACATTTGATTTATTTATTCTCAGTTGTACTACTTAGAATACTATTATTAACACTTTGGAAAGGAAGGTGTCTTGCTGTGACACCAGAATTCTTTCGATTCATCTTGAACTTTATTATTATCAACATTATTATTCCCACCATTGTAACCCTTTAAATCACTTTCATTTTCATCTTTTAAAATTACGTTTTTTTTAAGTAACTCTAGATTATTCAGATTAGAAACAATTTGGGTTGCTAAGTCATCTTATGTAATCAATACATTAAATATTGGCAATGGAAATTAATTTATGAGCCTGGAAATCTTTAAATTAACAAAAAGCTGATGTTTTCTAGCTTTTTGTTAAGTTCTTTACTGTTCTCTGCTAAAGAGAAACCACTAAATTGTCTCTCATTTTCTATTATTTCTGTTGCCCATATCGTTAAATATAATTTTGTATAATAATTTTAGTTTATGTGTTATCTCTCTTTTCAAAGCATCTTCCATTCCAGGTATGTCAATTAAATTCATAATTAATAAAAATAAAATCACTTATTTCATTATAAGGCTTAATCATATATTAATAATTTCATTTCATTCATTAATCATCATGCAATTAATTCATTAATCATCATTTCATTGAGGCATAATCATTTCATTTAATATAAAGCTTAGATACTCATTTCATATAAGGCGTAATCCGTTATCCATGTAGAAGGCATAATATGGAAACAGAAGTGAATTAAAATTCCATCACTGCGATCATGAACAGATAATCTCCAATGGATATTTTTCACCAAAATTCATATCTTGAGATTTGATTTCGAGTATTCCATCGTTTGACAGTCTTTACTAGAGCTGCACACTATTTACTCACTATTTTAGAATGCAGTTTTGGTTTATCAACATTCTAACAGTCGGTAGCTAAGCCTAGTTTTTCAACATTTATATTTAATTCGATCTAAATCATTGTCACATAATCCAATCCAATCCAATTCCATGAATTTGATGAGGTTTCTGTTTGAAATGTAGCTCATCCTACATCATAAAATAATCCAATAGAGCAACAATACATCTTCAAGAATGGTAGTAATCCAGGGTGGCAAACAAAATTGCAGTACGTTCAGAAGTTATTCCCACAAAAATGATCAGAAACGGGATTCTGATAATTTTTCTGGAGAAATAATAATGAACAAATTAATTAACAAAAGACATTTTAATGAAGACAAATGACGAAAACAAATTTAACATTTTCGAGAACAAAAGTGGCATCTCTGCTTCTACATTCCTCTGATGTCAATCATCCATCATCTGAAAATGATTCTCCTAATTTATGCCATTTTGCTTTCAGAGTTCGTAATAGAAAAGATGACGTAATGGCTTGATTACATCACGCTGTTGGATTTCATCATGGCTGCAAGCTATCGGCATTACACTACTGATTTATAATATAATAAATTCAGAAATCAGTAGGAGAAAATATTATTCCCAAAAGTTTTTTAAAAGATATCTTCGATATAAATATCCAAGAATTTATGTATTTTATATGACTAATTTATAGGACATTCAAGTCTTAAAAAAAATCTGTACACAATTTTATAGAGTAATATTTTGTCTTTTGTTTTTACTTTCTTGTGCTAACTGTGCAAATAGCAATGGGAGTGTTGTGAAAAATTTCAAATTTCAGTGGAAATATTCTTGTGTATCTCCCATAACTCAAAAATGATTAGCCATAGAATATTGAAATTTTATGTATGGGACTGCTTTAACATCTATTTGTACAGCCTTTTTTTATTGTAGAAAGGGTGCCAATAAAGCATTTTGCTCAAAATGTGTTTGAATTTTTTGCATAAATAACTCAAAAATAGTTAAGTGTAGAAATGTGGAAATTTTGTATATGGTACTGCTATAATAACATTTGGTTATGCACCTTTATTTTGGTTTCAATCAGCCTGTTCAAAAGGACACTTTACTCTAGGCATTTTTTTAATTTTTCAGAATTTATGATCTATTTTATATTTAACTATCATATGATTGGCAACACTGCTGCAATCAAAGATATCTGTGCATAGTATTACAATATATAATGGACTGGGATTAATAATCAGCCTGAGAAATTTCAAACAGCCCATACGCTCTCAATTTTGAATTTGAAAATGGGGATCATATCTCACTTTCAAATGAAATAAATTTAAATGAAGTGCAGCAAAAATTGTGCATAATTTAATTGGCTTCCACGTCAGATTTTTTTTTTAAAACTAATTAGCTGTTTTCTTCTTCGAACAATGCTACTTAAAAGTTTGATTGTCAGAAACCTTTAGCTCTTCCAAATATATTGTAGTTAGCAGAAGCTGGCTGTCACTGACGGTTGTTGAATATTGGTTAAAGTGCTGTATTTGAGGTTATAATGTGTTTGTGGAGTGAAGGATTTAAAAAAATTTTAAGCTGTTCTGCTGATTAGTTCTTGAGAGGTTGGAAGGGAAAGGGTTTAAGACTCCATTTCCTAGGGTGCTTTTGAATGAAATTAGGGCTAGGTTAGAGCTAGGCGAGTAGTTGTGATATGCAACAGTACCCCTTCTCCATCCCAAATAAATAATCCAGTCCATTAGAACTTTGTTTTGTCCTCTTGGGGTTTTATAGAAAACTGATTTTTAATAGTACTGTAACTAGATTTTAATAACAGTATTAAAATTTATTTATGATATTATTAAATTTATTCAACTATTAGTTAATAGTAAATTGATATATAAGCCTGGTGGTGCAGTGGTTAGCGTGTTGCTCAGCAGCACCACAGGTCCGGGGTTCGATGCCCGTGCTGGGCAAGGTTGACTCAGCCTTTCATCTCTTGAAATCAGTGGGTCGATAAAATGAGTACCAAGTTCTCTTGGGGGCTAAACAGCGGGGTTCATGTGACAAGCTGACCACTTGTTCAGGGCATATGCTCACTGGGGCCCACGGTCAAGAAAGCAGATTTCAGGCCTTGGCCCATTAGGGCTGTTGTGCCATTAAGTTTAGTTTTAGTTTAATTGATGTATTTGGAGTTTTATTTCTGGTAATGTATTTTTTTTATTGAAATTATTAAAACTCAGTTATTTATTTTAAAATTTTATTTTATTTACCTGGTTTTCAAGTTTTTGAATATAATGCAAATAAAGAAATCAAACCGTGAAATAAAGGAGCTCTTATCTCTCTCACCCCTTTTTTTTAGGTGTATTCATCAGAATAAACACTCCCCTATTATCTCTCAGCTATTTCAGAAAACATAAACTTTCATAAAAAAGCTATAATTTAAAAGAAGATAGTTCTACATTTTTTAACTGTAAAATCTTTCCTTGGAGTTCTGTGAATAAATCTTGTAATAAAACTGTACTTTGATCATTTAGTTTACTGATTGATTCAAAATAATTAGCCAAGTAGATTATTTCGTGGAGAAGATATATTTTTTTAAAAGCTTTTCTAAAAGCAATATAATTTAAGTTGAAATCTAATGATGTATTTAACTAAGCATTTTATTAAAAGTGATAGTAATCAAGAATAATCTTTATTATAATATAACATATATCATCTTTAAATCTTATATTTCTAAAGTAGTTGCTGTTCTTTTTATTTATTTTCTTTATGTACATATTTAGAAAAAATTAAGTTTCATTATCATTATTTTTATCTTTTCCTTCAAGACAAAACTTAACATTGAATGTATTTGTTTATAAAAAGTTTTTAATATTTATGCATGGTGATATTTGTAATCTCATTGCATTTTTCATACTCAAACAAGCATGTGCCATTTTGTCAATGTCATAAATGTAATAAAGTGTATAAATATTTTGTTAAATTTTTCTTTCAAATTTTTTACATATAGTGCAAATATATGTATATACTTCATAATTTTTTTTATCATTCTTGTTTTTTTAGGGAAAATATTAATGTTGATAAACTTGCTAGAAATGTAAAAATAATTGCTGAATCTTTAGCCAGGCATATGTACAACATAAGTGGTGAAACTCTAAGCACAGGAATTTTTTCAGAAAGTTTGGTAAGTTATTGTCTTATTTATTATCCTGCAGTTTATATTTTAGTATGTTTCCTGTTTCTGGATTGGGGTGGAAGAGATAATAATAAAAACAGTTACCCAATCTCCAGTAAGTAAGATTTTAAAAAATATAGGCTGTACTAAATTACCATATTTGACAGCATATAAGATGCACTGTTTTTCCTAAATTTGGTCTCAAAAAAGTTACCCGCGTCTTATACGTGAAGGTAATTTGCATTCAATAATTGTTTATTTGGCTTTTACGAAACATGAGAACTAAAAGAAACCATGCTATTGAAAATTTGTCCTTGTGTGTGGCCGTCTAAATAAGGGTGTGTCTTATATGCCGTCAAATATAGTAATTGATAAAATATTGTGTTAATGCTGATACACTTTCACAGAAAAACTTAGATAGTTCTAAATTTCTTTAATCAATAACAGTTTCCTGAATACGTATAGAGTACACTTTAGATTTCACTCAAAGCGCATGGAATTTTTTGCCGTTGTCTATTTTACCTGATACTTTTTATACATAACAAGCATTTTGATTTAATTAAACTGTTGCTACTTGTTAGAATTAGTTAGTTATAATGAGTTTGATGAGTTTTAGCTTTGGTGCCAAACTGATGTACCTGAACCAAAAATAATTTTCAAAATGGCAGCTTGCTAACACGTTTTGAGAAAATTCAAAAGAATAAGAAAAATTCATGTGCAAGAAACAGCAGTGAAGAATGAAATGAAATTTAAATTAATTTTTTTTTAAATGTTTGTTGCAATCTTGTTATTTCTTATTAAATTGTTAAATATTAGTTTGTTTCTTGATCTGCAAGTTATAGTTTGTAAATAATTATAATAGCCAAATGAAGTAGGAGCTAATTCAATTTGAAATTTGCTAGTGATAGTAATGCATTATGCCCCACAAATTTTCTATCACTATTGTGAACTGAGCATTCATGCTATGAAGCAATTAGTTCTTATTTTACACTATTTAAGGGTACATCTTATAAATTAATTTTTCAAATGACTGAAAAAAAATCCCAAATTCTGTTGATTATTTGGATTGATTTTACAAAATGCTAATGCAGATGAATGTTAGAACAAAGAAGAAGATTTCATTTGTGGGAATGGCATATGCTATGATCCTTTTTTGGTTAAAATAAAAACTGTAGAGCATTTCTTTCACATATATGCACAAGCTAAACAGGAATAAAGTAGTATGACAATGCTGCAAATGGGTTGCCGTTTGACTGTTCGTCTGAATCAGAGGAAGGTTTAATGTGTGTCCATGCTTAAAAGTCAGCTGTTCGAGTCATCAAACCACATTCTTAACAGAAGAATTTTATTGATCTATTAAGATCTGTTGTTTATTGATCTATTCAATTATGTTGCATGTCATGTAATATTCTTTTTCTAGATGATAAAGATTATCCCATTATACAGTCAATTCAAGTCTTTAATCCGGACTCGTTGGGACTTCGGCGATTCCGGATTATCGATTTTTCCGGATTATAGATCATCAGTTTAAATCTGGTAAGACTGCATGCAGAAATTATAAAATTAAAAATATGAAACCGTAATTTATGAAATAAAGAACAATTATGATCTAAAGGGTATCAAAATTTACAAAAAAAAAAAAAAGCTTAATATTTATTTGTTTACTTTATTAAACATTTCTTTTAATGTAAGTTGTTTAAGTTGCTTCGTTTTATGTGATAATACTTTCTCTTTAATTCTATAAACAGACATAATTTCTTGTTCAGTTACAAAGTTCCGCTGTTCAAGTCCTATAATTGCTGTGTCGAGAATACCGACTAATTTGTCAATCGAAATTTTTTTCGTTTTCAATAACCTCTGTGTCACTTTCTTCACTATCGGAAGCGAATTATAATGACGAGGAATTTGATTTAAATCATATCAAAGACGGAGTACATCGAGATGAAATACTACATTTAGTAAGGAATTATAAGCCAAATAAAATAAAACATCTGCCCTGAAGATAAGGATAGTGCTGACAGATCAACTTCCAATTCATTGCGCCGCGAAGTCCCCCCCCCCCCCCGCCCCAGCCGCGTTAAATTGATAAACGATTTCGGAATGGTTAGAGAGAACAAAGGATATGCCTTTATCCATTTTTTGCAGCAATTCCACTTTTTTTTTTTAATGGACTTCGAAACATACTTTCGCTTTGTAGATCCTTTACATATTAGTAAATATATATCGGAAATTCTATTTAATCGAACTTACTTTTATAAAATTGCTCTAACAGTCTGCAAAAAATAATAAGCCGGATCCAATTCGAAGATTAAGGAACAACGCAATCTGCAACACTAACTGAATTAGATAATTTTAGCTTAGCTTATACCGTCTGTTATACATTAAGCACGTATGCGTAAATTATGTGCATGCACACACGCATATTCGCAGCCGTAAAGGTCTTACGCAGCCGGAAAAGTTTGCGTCAACGCGACGCATGTGCAGAAAGTTTGTAGCTTTGAGGTCCGAATTATGGATCATTCCGGATTATGGGTGTCCGAATTAATGACTTTTGACTGTACTGTGTTTTTCTTGATCTAAAGCCAGTTGCCGTAAGGATTTAAATCCTCCGAATGAGACTTTGCATTGGAATTATAATTAATTGAAATCTTAACCCTTTTGGGACAGGTGTGTTACATATGCACCAGCCACCAATGTTATCTGACACCTGAGTGTGTCATATGAATCACTGGTTAAACTGGTGGATGGATGTACCCCTTATGATTTTTTTAGATAGAGTGTTTAATTAGTATTTTTTGTTACTTCTAGATATAGCACTATATCTGTTATGGAATTTATCAAGTCTAGAAAATCTTGACTTTCATTCTGTTGCAATATTTTTTATGTTTTGTTTCGGAATCAAATGTAACTTACAAAAATGTAACTTACTTTTAAGGATAGTTTTGTATGACTCTTTGCTTTGTATCTGAGGGTAGAAAGACTGCTTTTTGAGCTTTTAGAGGACATTTCAGTGACTGAACTTTATGTCTATATAAACGAGAGCTGAATGGATATTTACTATTGAAATCCTCATGAATGGTTTTATGATGCTGTTCAACATTTGATGATGACAACATTCAGTGCCATGCATAAACAAACTTTTTCACCAATATTTGTAAATAACAACTCCTCCCATTCATTGTTGAAGTGGTAAGTTTTCTTTCTGATGGCTGTGGCACATTACTCATGTCAACAAGCACACTGCAAAATGCATGTCTGGATCTCATGGAGGTTTAATCATGTATGCAGATGTTTAATGTCACCAGCAGCAGACAAGGCTTGTGTTAAAGCAGGCACCGTATATTTTACATTAGGATTAGAGTAAAATTGTGTCGGGTGGTATTGTAATTGTGGCTGCCAAGCACTTAAAGACAAGACTGTTGGCTACCAGGTGCTTGTGAGCTACAGCAGTGGTGGACATCATTGCTGTAGACTAATAAGATATGGACATAGCTTCATACTAGTCTAATGTGATTCTCTCTTTCAGTCCATCAAAAAAGAATATCTACAAGCTTGGATTGATCAGTTGTCATCTCAAGCACGTAGTGCTCAGATGCTTTCATCTGGGTCTGTTAGGCATCCTTTAGTATCATCTCTAGAACAAGCTATGTCACGATACCTGAAAGATGTGAAATTCTCCATCTTCAAGTCTGATAAAAGGTAATAATAATAATAACAACAATAATTGTAGTTTGCAGTGTTTTGATAAAAAATTTTTAAAATGCTGTAAATATGAAATTATATTTTCTGTGTTAATACTTTTAGTGAGTAGAAAATATAAAGTACCATTAAGCATCTATAAATTTCAGAATTTTTAAGACTGCAACTAAATTAAAAGAATAATGTGTCACAATCTGCTTAATTATTATTATTTGGTACTTGTCTGTGAACAGGGTGCCAGTTACCAGCTTTGTACCAGAGTGCCAAATGTATATTTATATTGCACATTTTTTATTTTATTTTGCTTTATTACCACCATTTGTTGTTGCTTTTAGCTCATAATTAGATTAGGTTAACTCCATTTTACTGTGTATTTATTCATTATATAGAAATAGCAATAATAAAATATATAATGATTAATTTATGCAATGCTGAATTTGTGCAGTATTCTGATGTATTTTCAAGTGAAAATATATTGCTATTTTCATGGGAGGAACAACAGTTTCATTCTCCCTATGTATACAGTAATATGCTTTTACTTTTGCTTTAATTCAGCATCATGCACAGCCTTGGCATTGCACTTGTTAATTATTATATCTATTTGATATATATATATATATATATATAATAGTTATTCTTTTCATGACGTTCCCTCAGGGGCTCACGTTTTCAAGTGCAAGGGTAGTAATCCCGGGTGTAGTCCTTCAGGGGATCGTCTTCTTGGTGAGACTGGTGTCACGATCCTGGAGCCCCAGTGATGTATACTTTTTTCTGCCTCCTGTCCTCTTAGCTGAAACTTTTTTTCCTTCCCTTCTCACTTGTGGTTGTCCTCTTTGGAGGTTGGGTCTCGCCATGAGAAACTGGAACAGCCCTTGTTTTTAGTTTTCGAGTGGTGAGAAAAAATGTCCACGTGTTTGTTATACGTGGAGACCTATGTCACTGGAATGGAGGGTCTTGTTAGCTGAGAGGTAAGGTACTGTCCCCAACACACTGCTTTGCCTCTGATTCAGTTAAACAGAAGGCACCTTGTCGTCCTCACATATGTCAGTTGGCTGATCAGTAGTCCTTGTATCAGAGGCTTGGGGATAAGCCCTGCTTTCGGGAAAGTCAACTGTGGGGCTTCAGATCATTCATAAATAATTAGAGAAGGTGAATGTGTAGCTGACTCAGCAAAGTCATAGACTGAACATTAATTTTTTTTTTTTTCTGTGATTGGTCGGTTCTTATATTAGGCTGGCATAAAATTCAACAGATAGAAAGGAAAGATGTTTGATATGATCATCACAGGTAGTTTTTGAAGGTTTGTATTAGTTACTAAGACACAAACAATTATTACATGGACAGGCCCATTTTAAAATTAGGAGCTCCTCCTCTGAACGCACAGAGGAAGAAGAAAATACAAATATTTAAAAATTTCAGAGCCTGGTGGCAGGAATATGTAAGGAAATATGGTGTGTGTTTGTATTTATATATACAGTGAGAGAGATACTATATTCCTCACACACATATATATATAAGTAATGCAAATTAAAGTAAAAAATAATAAGACAATTAAAAGTCATCCTATCTTCAATTTGCAATAAACTTATGCTAGTAACAAAAAGCAAGAAAAAGAAGTAAAATATGGCAAAAACCAAAAAGAAGTGAGAAATTTACACCCTTCGCTGCATCAGTCATCTGTAGGTTGGTGCAACAAAATTAAATAAATAAATCAGTCTCCTTCTGAACCACTAAAGACAAAGCTTAAAACTTAATCTCTGAAAGACAAAGCAATCTGTGCCTTAATCAGTCCAACCCATATAAGATTAAGTAAGCAGTGCAGACAAATGCAAAATTATAGCATCAAAAACATAAACAAATTTTTAAAAAATAAAATTATTCTGAGTAGACCAAGTCAAAAAAAATATTTTGTATATATATTTTTTTATTTTATTTTGCTTTATTACCACCATTTGTTGTTGCTTTTAGCTCATAATTAGATTAGGTTAACTCCATTTTACTGTGTATTTATTCATTATATAGAAATATAAATGCAATACAAATAAAGTAATAAGTAAAAATACAATCTATTGATCTCATTTCTAGACTGGTATATTTATTTATTCATAATGGTTTATATGCTTTAAGCAAACAATTTTGTTTTTATATTGGTATGCACCAGTTTGAATATGTATTGGATTTAAATGTTATTTATATTTTCATTTAATATGTATATGTTACTGGCAAAGTATGAAACACCAGCATTCTTAAGAATACTTAGGCATTTTATCTAATGCCTTGCAATTTTAGGCAAAGTAAGAAATATGAGAACTATTTCATACTTCATTATGAGACTGTATATAATACCTAAGCATTCTACAGAATAACAAATGCTGTTAGCAGGTTGACTGCCGGGAGGGGTCACCGGTGGTGGGCACTCGACTTGGCTACAGCGCGTGGGGGCTACCGGTGACTGGCAATGTGACCAATAGTAAAAATACATAATTAGAGTAAATATCGATACTGATAAATTTTTAAATAACATCATTGTTACTATGGTTTGAAGAATAATAAATCGCAAAATCGTGTCTCGGGGTCACCATTGACCCCCACCACAAAAAATACATTAAACACATTTATATAACTCATCTTCCGTAGATAATATTTCAACATAATATACATTACATAATAAAAAAAAATCATATTGGCACCATGGGCAAACCACGTAAAATGTGCACGGCAGCCAAAGTGTTAAGCAAAATATGAAGAAAAAGGTAATGATAAGGCTGTTATTTAAAAGGTGTTCATTCCCCGTAAATACAAATGTTATTTTGAAAAAATAAGGAAAGAATGCCATTAAAATTTTTTTAATTCAGAATACATAAAAAAATAAAAAAAGTTGTACAAAACAAAATTTATGCCTTTTTTCATAAAGAGAAAAAAAAAAAAAAAAAAAAAAAATTCATATAAAAAATAAGAAGTTAAAATTAAGCTGTTTGTTGGAATGTGGATTGGCTTGAATGAAATTTTGAATTCATTTCACTATTTACATTCCTACATTACTCACTAATTCTAAGCAATTGCAACTAAACAGAGAAGAATTGCATGGTCAAGAATATCTTCATTTTTAAGCAGGTTCTTAGAACATAAAATAAACTGTGGTTTTGAATATAGTTGTTATAAAATTCTTTCAGAAGTTTGTAGAAACTATTATCTGTCTTAGTCATTGCATTTGCCTGTATATTGCATAAGCTATTATATACTTTCCATAAGCATTTGTATATAATATGATGATGTATTTCATACTTTGCTAGTTGGTCATTTGGGATTCTATAGAATGCCTAGATAACGCGCGAAATGTTTAATCATTTCATACATTGCTGGCCAGTTTTCGGCATTCTGTAAAATGTCTAGGTATTCTACAAAATTCTGGATTTCATACTTTGCTATTAACATATTTACATTACTATTAACACTACAAATTTGAATTTTTTAGGGAACCTGAATTAGTGTTTTATGAACCAGTTTACACACAGATGAATGCATACAGGTAAGATACATTTTTGAATTGAAAGACTTATGTAGTGCATGTAAACAGTTCAAAGAATAATGAAATAAAGTAACAAAAATGCTAGAAAAGCAATGGAGGGTTAGTGTAGCCATTAACTTTCACTAATACAGGTACATTGCACATACACATATAGCAATCAATCCAGTTTCAAAGAGGATCAAGGTATTTTAGCAAATTGTTTGCTGTATGAATTTAAAGAAGGTCTGTCAGTAGCTGCATTAAGTTATTTAATATGTCAGGTATCTGGGAAGAATTCTATGTGTAAACATATCATTGAGTATTGATTCAGAAATTCAGATTGGGAGATTTGTGCCTTTGTGATGAACCTTGAAGTGGGTGACCACGGTTGCTGGATGGCTGGGTCTTGAAAGCAGCTGCAGAGGAGGACAGCAGTCAAGTCTGTAGTGAACTTGCTGAATGCTTTCAGATTTCTAAGGAAATGATCAGAGTTCACTTGCATTGCATTGGGACCCACTTGCTCAGTATGACTTTATGATGATCACAAACAGTAAGAATTTTTGGGGTTTAAAAGAAAGTAGTTCACAAAGTTAAAAAAAATAGCAAATGACTCAGATGAAATAAAATGAAAAGAAGTAAAATGCAGTCTCAAGGAAATCACAATTAGATAAAAAATAGTTATGATTTAAGAAAAAGAAAAAAATTGACATTGTTAGCCCAAAGGGCGTTAGCACAGAAGGGCTATTATTTTTGTTTTGACATTTGTGTTGAAAACTTTAAATGTCAGTTCACTTTTCAAATTGTTGCTCCCAAATATTATCACCCTGTGTTATATTTAAAGAAATTAAATAATTAAGAATCTGCATAAGTGTATGTATGTGTCTTGCATTGTGATAAAATAATGGTACCTAGAGCCATCAGATTTTGAATAACGTACATTTCCACCAGAATATGGGCATATGGGGGCCCAAATTTGAAATTTGCTTTATTATCTATTTTATAGAACTTTAATGAATTTTTAATTAAGATACTCAATGATTTCAAAGCGAGCAATAGGAACACTACAAAAAAAAGCATTTTTATCTCCAGCGCATGAGACTGTGTATCAGAAATTCTAAAAATTCTATTCTGCTGTTTTAAATATTTTGTGATATTGTTGTTGAATTGAATTTTATGGTTTAAGGGCAAAGAACATGATATTTAATAAATAAAGGTAACACCCAAAACGTTAAAAAAAAATACTGCTTTGGGCTATGCCCAAATTAATTTCATTTTGGTATTTTGCGTTGAAAACATTCACTTTCCAAATTGTTTTCATCAAATATTATCGCCCTGTGTTATATTTAAAGAAATTAAATAATGATGAATCTACATAAATGTATGTATGTTTCTCACATTGGGATAAAACAGCGGTACCTAGAGCCATCGAATTTTGAATCACATAATTCTCCACCAAATATGGGCATCTGGAAGCCCTAATTTGGAATTTGTTTTATTATCGTTTTTGTATTTTGTAATACTTTTCTGATTAACTAAACGATTTGAAAGCAAGTAGTAGCAACACTGTATTGGAAAAAAAAAAAAAAAAATATCTCCAGTGAGCGAGACTGTATATTGGAAATTCTAAAGATATGTTCATTTTAGAATTATTTTGCAATATTGCTGTTGAATTGAATTTTATGGTTTAAGTGCGAAGAATTGATATATAATAAATAAAGGTGACACACAAAACATTAAAAAAGTGCGTAATGCAACATCCCTTTGTGTGTAATGTAAAATCTGAAAGCTTTCAGATTCCCCCCCTGTACTATTTTTTATTTATTCTTTTTAAAATCTGTTTATATGAACATTCAGTCAATAAATAAATTTAAAAAAAAAAGACATTTCTATATCTCCCAAAAAATTTCAAAGATATTTCGTAGCCTTTACTGCATAATAAGTTTCAAACAAGCTGTTTTTTATGTTTGAAAGGGCCTCTAATTATCATGAAAGACTTTTTTTTCAAAGCAAAATATGCTTTTATGGAAATATAACATTTAGAATAAACACATTTTTAAAAGTCGTATTATGATTTGTCAAAAGATCTGAATTCTAATCATTTATAATATAATAAATGATGATTATTGTTACATTTATTTTCACGTTATTATTTCTGTTACATTTTCTGTTATATTAGAATTTAATTAAAATTCTTGTAAAGTAATTTCTAAAATTCAAAAGATTCTCCTTTTCTGTGGACATATTGCTAATTCTATACCAGGGATGGGCAAACTACGGCCCGCGGATAGAATTTTAATTTGCCGGTCCGAGGCAAGTTAAAATCCATCTCCTTTCCTACTTTGCTTAAATATTATTTTTTTCTTCCTTTTTTTCAAAGACTGATGATTTTTTTAATTTATCTATTTTTGTTCTACATAACATAAATCGACGGAAATAGCATTTTGTTAGGTATATCTCTAGACTGGCGCCAGCAAGCGTTATCTCTTTCTCGGGGAGCAGATATATGGGAATCCAATATAGGTGAATTAGACTTCACATGTGGCAAACTGTGCATTTTTAGCTCCAACCAGCGGCTTTTTCGTTTTCCACGAGTTTAAATGTTATTCATGGCGTATGGAAAGATCATGGACATATAGCATCATTGTGAATAGTGGTGAAATTATTATAAGTATAGCTTAGCTAGTGCTTGTTTGGGCTATTCGTGAAATAATTCAACCCCAAAATGGCTACTAAAAATATAAAGTTGATTCAGAGTGCCGTCCTTTTAATGATGAATGGACCTGGAAATATTTTTACAGTTGTAAAAGATAAACCAGTGTCTCATCTGCAGTGAAGCTGTAACAGTCTTCAAAGAATATAACATTTCTCGTCATGTCACATCAAAGCATAAGAATTCCAATTACGAAGCAATGTTTGAATGTGAAAGAAAACAAAATGCAGAAAGTCTTGGTAAAAAATTATCAGGCCGACAAAATTTTTTCAAGAAAGTAAACAGTATCCAAGAAGCAGCTACACATGCAAGTTACATAATAATATATAGTATTGCTAAAAATAATAAAGCTCTCGTTGATGGAGAGTTCATTAAACAATGCATGCTCCAAGTTTGTGAGGTTTTTATGTCCAGACAAGAAAAATAATTTCGAAACTGTAAGCTTATCTCGAAAAATGGTAACTTCTAGAATCGAAGACATCGATAAAAATTTGACATCACAATTAGAGTCAAAGATTGGCCAGTTTAAATTTTGCTTCATAACTATGAATGAAAGCACTGATACAAATGATGCTGCTCAATTAGTATTATTTATAAGAGGTGTTGATGAGAACTTTGAAATTACCGAGGAACTGGCATGCATGCGTTCTTCTTTAAAGGGAACTTACAACGGGGTGTAATATTTTTCATGAATTTCAAGAAAGGCTTTTAACTGAAAGTGCCTATAATAAATATAAGTAATATTACAACCGATGGAACACCAAATATGACAAACAAATTCTGGATTTCTTAGACTCTTTAATCAAAACTATCCCGGAAACAATGTTGTTTTTCTACATTGTGTTATACATCAAGATGCTCTGCGTAAATCTGCATTGAATATGAAACCCATGCTTAATGCAGTCGTGAAGCTTGTAAATACTATTTGATCTCGTGGACTTATTCACAGGCAATTTCGAGATTTTCTTCAGTCCGTGCAATCTGAATACTCTGATGTACTGTATTACACGAAACTAAGGTGGCTTAGTGCAGGATGTGTTTTGAGCGAGTTTGGCAACTGGAAGACGACATTGTGTTGTTCTTCCAAGAGAAACAATGTTCTGCGGAGTGCAAAATGTTAGAAGATACAGAATGGCTTTCTGACTCTGAATTTTTCACAGATCTTCCTTGTCATGTGAGCAACTTTAATGTCAAGATGCAAGGGGAAAATCAATTTATCGACAATATCTGGGTCCATCTCAAAGCTTTTAAAACTTAATCTGTTTGTTGCGCAGCTAGCTAAGAACAACTTGTCTCATTTCCCGAGGTTAAATTCAAATACCCTTAGTAAATGAAGAGAATCTTAAGAACTATGAAGATGGCTTGAAAAAACTGCATTTTGATTTCGAGTGCAGATTTCAAGATTTCAGTGCCTTTTAAACAGAACTGAATATTTTTAACATGCCTTTCAACCTAAATTGTGAGACAGTGAGGTCAGATTTGCAGCTTGAATTAATTGAGTTGCAATCTAACAATCACATCAAGCAGTTGTTTTTAAATATGCCAAAGTTAGAATTTTACAAATCATTATCGAAAGTAAGTTTCTTAAATTTAATATCTCACGCGCAGAAAATCAGTGATATGTTTGTTTCATCTTACATGTGAACAAGTGTTATCAACTGTGAACCGTAGAAAAAATTATTTTAGAAGTAGACTGACAGATAAGCATTTAGCCTCGTTCCTTAGAATCAGTACATCTCACTTTGAACCTCAGTATAAGGAACTTTTAAACATGAAATCACAATTTCATTCATCTCATTAACATATTTAAATTGTAATACTTGTATATATATATATATATATATATATATATATATATATGTGTAATAATAAAATTCCATAATCAAGAATACACTTAAAATTCTAACTGTATATTCTTTTCATTTTTAATGGTGACGTTCTCTTATTTGAAAGTACGTGGAATTAAATCCACAGCCCCGTAGTCAAGTTGTTTTTCCCACCTTTTCTACATGTACAGTTATAGAATGTTCTGGAAATATTAAAAGCGAACTGGAATGGCTGACGAGGCTAACGTCATTTCTTAGAAGCTCTGCCTTTCCAGAGGCTATAAAAAGACTCGCAAAGGAATATGGGGGCTTTTTCTTTAAATGTCACGATGCAGTAAACTTCATACAAAAAGTTATTAGTAATTCTTTTTATTTACTTCGGATATCTGATTTTGTAACTGCTATTTCTCCTGAATAATAATAAATGGATCCTGTTTTCTAAACTTATCGTCTGATAATTTAAACTACGACTACATTTATATTTCTTCAGCAATCTATTTATTTTGGACAAAAGCTGGTACATCACATATATATATAAATTTTAGAAAAATTTATCTTGGCCCACCAAACCTTTTATTTTTCCCTCGATTTTTGGCCCGTGACTGAAAAAGTTTGCCCATTCCTGTTCTATAACAATCAAAATTTGAACACCTGAACTGCTGCTTTTTCTGTCAACTATGCCAAAAAGTACAAATTAAATCAGTAACATTGTCAGTTCAACAATTGGCACTATATCTATCATATACTTCCCAACTGAATAACTACACTACTCTTCGGTGAGTTTCTTGATTTTTTAGTTTAGAAATCGCGCATAAATTAGGTTGGTTGATTATTTAAATATATCAAAGCACATGGAGGTTGTCTGCCTAAGGGGAGGAATGCCTTGATGGAGGACTTTTCTAAGGAAATGTGGCCCATATTCATGTTGCATATAGGGAAAATAATGAAAACCATGCAGCCAGCTCACTTGCCTAAGTTGGTTTCTGAGACAAACTGTCAGTAGTCTTTAACAACTTGGCAACTAGTAGGACCACTTAAATTAAGAGCCTGGTTACTAGATTTGTAAAGTGTCTTATATTAATTAACCAGTTATAATGATTTAAGTCTTCATTATAACTGCTCCTTTTTCATAGTCCCACCAAGATGCAAATTAGCTTTGTGTTTAAGCTGAGAGTTTTGAATCTTTAGTTGAGAAAATGGTTGTCAATCATGTCTTGCTGTTAGTAGTTTTAGCCAGTTGTGTTTAAAAATTTTCTTCTGGCTTTAGTATTCTTGCTGACTGATGCTTTAAATGCACACTGGTAAAATGTATGAGAGAGTTTATTTAATGTGTGGTTTTAGACTATGTTATCGATGTTTGAATTTAATTGTCTAATCTGTTAATTTAAAATATCCACAAGTTGTGGAAATACTGTCTGTAGCACAAGTTGTGCCTCATGCTGAAACTGAAAGTAAAATGAAAAGGTTATTCAAACCTACTTCTCTATTTTGTGAGTTATTAAGACATAGTGATGACTCAGTATCTGTCTAATAGGGTAAGTAGGATTTTTAACTCTAGTTTTCAATTATAATAGCAACTTTACAGATTCTAATTTACTGTTTGATTTACAAATGTTTGAAGTATTGTTATATTCTCAGTCATGGACAGCAGAGTTTTGTTAACTTATTAGTTCTTAAAATACCAAGCCTTAATTTAAATGAACATTCAGTTATATTTGCTGTTATTGTATTCACTTGATGTTCTTATTACCTCCCTGTGTTATTCACCGTGGGAAGATTAAGCAGGTGGTTAGATTAAGATTTCTCTTACAAGCTGAGGTGTCAAAAGTGTACTGCAATTTTAAATGTTTTGTTGAATACTTGACTTAAATAGCTGAGAGTTAAGCAGATGATTTTTAATCATATGTTATTCATTCAGAAACTACTGTATTGCATGCTAATCCATCTTTCCACTGGTCAATAATTACTTCATGTAACCACTCTGTCTTGAAAATAAAGTCATTCTGCACGTTATCTAGATTTATCTCTTTGTGATTACCATTTCACAAATCTCAAGTGTCCACTTCATAAAACTCAAGCCATATTTTTCATTAATTATACTTTCATTAATATTTTTCATTAATTATACTTTCATTAATTTTCATTCTATTTCTTAAAATAGTTTATTAAATTGTTCTCAATATTTATATTTCATTTGTTCTTTTGCCCACCAGCGGCTGAGCAGTAAAGTTGATGTACACTGGTAGTTCGGTCCGTGGTTTGAATCCCGCGAATGGGTTGGCTGCATGGATGTTTTCAAGGTTTTCCCCATGTGTAACATGTATACGAGCCAGTTCTCCTTAGAAAGGGCTCCACGAAGGCATCCCTCCCCTTAGGCAGATAGTCTTAGTGTGCTTTGCCGTAATTAAATAAACCAAACCAAACCAAAACCAAACCATTTGTTCTTTTAATTCTCTTTAAATTACATTTTTAGAATTTTTATTTCCCTTTTTTTTGTTCTAATATCATTTTTATTCTCAATTTCCTTTTTTTTAAGTGCCATTTAATTCTGTGACTTAGTCTTTCGGTTTGCAATAATTCCTTGCTGTTAGATCAGATATGTATTCGATTATTCTGATACATATTTTGCCCTGTTCAAACTCAGGAATGGGTGAAGGTTGTGCAATCTTGCACGTCTATGAAAAAAACGCGATTTCAATGAAATATTGCAGTAAATCAACGAGTCCTTACTGATATTTCATGAAATGAAAAGATTTTTTAATAAACAAACAAAATAATAGTAATAATAGTTCAAGATTAAGTGACACGGCATCAAGAACTGGCAGAGGCGGAAATATCATAACTTGCAAGGAAAGTTGCTTTGATTTTGGCTTTATTTCAGTAGAAGTAAATAACATTGAAAGATAACGATGACATATGTTTTGTCTGTTTAAAAAAATCTTTGCACTTGAAAGTATGCTTGAAGTAAGCTAAAGCAATATCTCAAGATCATTTGCCTAACTTGGTTGACAAATCTAAAAACCAGAGAACCAGTAGTTTGTGATTCAGTGATATCAAAACAAAAGGAGACCTGTTTTGAATTCTTACAAAGAGCATGGCAGCTGGGATTTTGTGGTAATGGGTTTATTGTCCCCTTTTCTGACAAATTAAGTTTCAGCTTAATATCTAATTTCAAATGTGTTTATATATAGAGGAAACAACATATTTCCATAAATATATTTATTATAGCAGTGTAAATGTGATGGCATGAAGAAGAATAGTGATCTGTGGATGTTCTTCCATGCACGTTTTAAAAAAAAGTTTTACTTTGCTCAGTGATATCAGGATTATGTCTTACAAGTATTAATAAGGCTGCTTTAGATGTGATGCAGATATCACTTTTTTTTTTTAATATTGTGTGTTTAATAAATCTGACTGTTAAATTTCATGAAATCAAAGGTATTTACCAAATCAACTACCCAGTAAATTCTTTCTGAATCCCATGGAAAAGTATAGGACATTCCTGAAAGAGCTGTTGTGTGGTGAAATACTTCTCGTAGAGATAATGCCTTGAAGATTGGATTATGGAGGTGGATAATTTGCTTCCCTAATTCTTAATTTATTACTTTATATGGAGAATGTATTCACATTGTGTTATGTGTGTAATAGCTAAATGTGAATATCAAATGTCTGCATTTTGTTTCAGAAGAATTGCACAGAAGTGTAGCATGCACTTATATTTGATTCTTTGGTTTATATTATATATTATGATGATTACCTCAAATGTATATTTTTTTAAACTTGGCTTTTAAGAAAGGATTGTTTTTAAATATGTAAAGAGAATTTTGTGTATATGTGCATTCTATATATGTACATTGTGTATATGTACATTCTGATTCTCTTTTCCTGCATTCTCATTTATAACTTAAACTTTGTATATTTCACCCATAATTTATTCTTTTGATCTGTTTTATAATAAATTTAAAAGTAACATTCCATTTTTTACTTCATTGTACCTTTATGTAAGTGAGGCATGTTATTAGGTTTTGCATTTATTTGAGAGTAGTTAGTCATTTTACTTGATAGTGAAAATTCTTAGATTCCTGCAAAAAAGTATGTTTTCACTTAACAATTTTTAATTTCATAATTGCTGCATTGGAACAAATTAACAAATGCAGAAATTAAAGTAAAAGGATTCTATTACTAGAGATTGATCTTTCATCTGAAAGTGAGTTTAAAGAAATGTAATTTTTAATGATGAAGATATTCATAATTTTATGTATTACTTTACACATTAGGATTTGTTTAGGATGGAGTTTTAAAATATTTTACTTTGCAAAGGTACATTAACTGTAACTTTCCCCCTCAGTTTTCAGGCTAAAAATCTTTTCTGAATGTAGTTTGTTTTGAGATTAATAAATAAATGTTGATTTTATTGAAATTAAATGTCTGATTAAATATGTTTTCATGTCTCTTGTAAAAATTTATGAGACTAAAAATGACTGTGTGTAATGAATGGTATTTATTTTTTAGAGTCAAACCTGCCATATTTGATCTGTTTCTTGCCATAATTATAGGATCTTACTTAGGAATTATTTATCTTTTAATAACAGTAAGTTATAATTTTCTCTGTATACTTGTGCTTTGAATTATTTATAATTATGAAATTACCACAGTTTGAAGATCTGATGAATAAATTGGTAGATAGTGAGGCTGTTTCAGTATTATAAAATAAAAGGATATTAAATTGCCTATGAATAAAATTAAAACTATCTAATTTAAGCATAATTCATATAATAATTAACTTACTGTGTAAAAAAATGTTGGTACACAAAATCTTTAGATAGATAGCTGTAAAATCTTTATTGGCAATGATAGTTTTTATAAGATTTTATTTAGCTCAGTCATGGTATTTGCCGATGTGATCAAAAGTTTGCCATCAATTTTTAAACTTCTGCGTGATTCAAAGTGAAATTTTACATACTCATGCTTTGTGGATGTCAATGTTATCTGAAGTGATTTTTTTCGAAATTGATAATGAAACGATTTTTCGCACATATCTTCATTTAACCCTTTGACGGGCAGTGGGACGCCAGGCATCCCACCTTTTTTTTTTTTTTTTTTTATCAGTTTTTATCTCTCAGGTGAAAGCTGCAAAATTCCATTTAAAATACATACAATTTATGCCCTTAAATTCTCTAAATGTATAACAGATGACTGCTTCAGTATTCATTCATGGAAATAATGTATGTAAAATAAAAATTCTTTGTAAAATAAAAATTTCTTTAATTTTGAAGCAGTTTTTTTTTCTTAATTTCTAATGCAATTTAAATCATCTGTACAACAACTTTTGTTGTTAGATTGAATATTTTTACCAGAATATTTTTACCTTTTCTAATAAAAATTATTACTTGAATTCATATATATTAATTAAGAATGGTTGAAATTAGAAGGTGGGACAAATACATCCCACCGTGCATGTAGAAATTGCTGCTACTAGATGGCAGAACCATTCAAATATTTTTAAATTCAAGTATCATGTTCATTTGATATCTGGATAATGCAAATTTATACTTTTTAATAAATTGCAATAATGTTAAAACTTAAAAAATATCTAGTATTTTTTCTGAAAGAAATGAAAATATAACTCTGTAACATGAAATTTCATTGAATACTGAATATGTGAGTGTGATTCACCATAGAAAAATATCCTAAGCAGAGAAAAGAGAGGTGAAATGGAAATAAACATGATGGCCTTCTAAATATCTTCTTTTTTGAAACCTGTAGCAACTTAGGTACTGGAGTGAAAATCTTCTCTGTTTCAAATTTATTATGAAATCATTAAAAAATATCTAAAAAGTCGTACAGAGAGTGATTTTTAAAAACAATTATGCAATTTTTCTTGAAAAAAGTATTTTTAAATTTGCGAATATTATCACTATTTTCTAATTAATTATTGAAAAACTTTTTTATATTTTGCATTTTCATTTGGTTGCTGAAACTACCACTTAATATAAGCATATTAGGAAAATTTACGCTCGGGCAAAGATGCCATTTTACAGTTCTAGATGTGCAGTGGGACAAGTGGTATCTCACCACGCCATGTGTGTGTGTGTGTGATTATGGCAAAGCCTCGAGGGCTATCTGCCTAAGGGGAGGAATGCCTTCGTGGAGGACTTTCTAAGGGAAAATGGCTCGTATACACGTTACACATGGGAAAAACCACGAAAACGCCCATGCAGCCAGCCCGTTCGCGGGATTCGAACCTCGGACCGAACTACCAGTGTTCAGCGACTTTACCGCTCACCACACCATGAATTAAAGGTTTACTTCCCCCCCCATGAAATAACATAGTATTAGGGGCTAATTATCTGTGTGTAAAGTTATTCCCCCCCCCCATTTTTTTTTTTTTTTTTACGTACTGAACCTCAAAGGGCTGAACAAACTAAAAAACTCAGAATTTTACGATTTGCACATGAGAAAGAGCCGGAAGAAAGTCTTTTAAATGAAATATGTATGAATTTTTTTAATGTAATTTGTGAATTTACAAGAATTGCACGATTTTTGGTGTGTATTATTTAAAAATTTCAAAATCTAACAGTCAACCAAATGGCTTCTTTTAGCCCTTCAATGGGACTCCTCTGAGAGGACTACTATTCATAATGCTATAAAATTAATCTTAAAGGCATCTTTTGTTACAATGTCGTGTATCCAAGTCATCAGTGCAGTTGTAAATGCTTATCACTCGCTGCAGCTGCCCTTTTACATTTTACCAGCTACATACTTCAAATGCACATTGTATTGTTCCACAATGCTGATTGGGGCTGCTTGTTTAATCATTTACACATCTCGCTAAACCGCATTTGCCTGGCACGTTTCATAATTGTGGCTCAATTTTTTCTGGGTGCAAATATTTTTTCTCCAACAGAGTGTATTTACGTAAATAAAATCACTTAATTATTAAATTAATGTTATAGATCTAATAAATATTTTCATTTTACATGCATAAAATTAAGCGTTCTCTGGCTCTTAATAGATATATTGAAAAGTTGCTTTTAAAATTTGTTATTTTTCAACTATGTTGAATTAAATATAAGCATTTTAATGAAAAATATATTGTTTCTATAGTTTAATAATTATTACTTTTTTCCCTTTAAGAATTTTTACAGGCTTGAAAGGCTGATGAAATCATATGCTGTATCTGTGAAAGGAAAGCAGAGTTAAGTGTAGTTTGAGGTATGAATGAATTTTCCATTTCTGTTTTGTTGAAGGTTGATTATTTTAGAAAGCAAAGACATTTTTAGAAGCATTTTAAAAATTTTTAAGATTGGACAGATTTCTTTTATCATTCATATAACATCACAAAACAGAATGAAATATATAACTACTGAGAAAACTAAAGAACTGATCTGTCAGTCTGTAAAATAGAAGATCCTTAAGTAGAAAAATATAGTTGTTGTATATCTTAGTTAATTAGCTTTTTTGTAGTACACTTTGACTAACTGTAAATATCACTAGTAAATATTTTAAAGTTGATGATTTCTCTTAGTTTTATAAGTTTAATGATTATGTGTAGATCATTACTAGATATTAAGATGATAAGACAGATACCATTTTAGGAATAAATGATAAAAATATTCTTTTGCTATTAATACATTAATTTAATGCTTTTCTTGTTTTTTCCTTTGAGTAAGATGTGATTCTAATACCCTGTCATAAAAATTTTGAAATGCTGTGTCACATATTATTAGCAGCTCTAAAGCTCAGGATTCAATATTTACTATATTCCCACTTTGTCTCAGTCTCATGATGTTGTCCCTTCATTCTGGACAGTTTTTCATCTTGTCCTGGTTATTTGGTATAATTTTAAAAGTGCCAAATGTAGTGCCCCCCCCTTAAAAAAAATAGTGTAACCTTTAGATCTAAATTATTTATTTTTAGATTAGATTTAATTATTATTAGATTTAATTTTATCTAGATGAATGTGGCCTAATTTATTCTTTCTTCCAAATATTTCCTCCCAACATTTATAATAGCGCATAGCGTATGAGATCCAGGTATTTTCCCCCTTTTTTTAGACGGATTGTTTCAATTAGTGTTCATTAGTACTAGTACTTATAGTGGGCACATAATTGTTGCAGCATGTTGCAGCAAATTGCGGTCTGTCATTTGCAATTATTTTGTATTCTACATTAAATTAATCTCTAAAATTCACAAAAGAAACTCGTGTTTATGAATGAATCAAAAGAGAAGTATCCATTTTTCAAAAAAGTGTGATCGTAATGATAAAGTGTTATAGAATAGATAAATACTTATAACATCGTAACCATATATGACGTTACTTATACGATATGTTGAGTTATTAAAAATTTTCTTTAACTCTCAGTTGTTTGTTTAAAGTTTATCTAGATTTTCAATCATAGGTACTTTTCCTGGTAGGTTTTGTTCTCTGTTGCAAATATTTTTTCAAAATTATCCCCGTTTGAGCAAAAATATTTAGGTGAGCCTCTACATTCAGTGTTTCGAAATGTGTGTGAAAACAAAATATGTAGTCATTATGACAGCAACAAATGTAGCCTGTATGTCCTTGGGGCTCGAAGCTCAATAATGCTTTGTTTTGAAGTTGAGGACGGGAGGAATTTTACATTAATTTAATTAAAATAATTTTTCAATTAAATATTGTTTTATTAGTATGAAAGTGAATGCAGTTTAGATAGCCATCATGGAACAACAAAAATATGTCGGTATGTTTATATAAATTTAACAGAAAGAAATACGAATTAACTGAAAATGAATACCATAAATTTCCATGTGTAACTCAAGAATTTTTGAAACTTATCTAAAGCTGAATAACAGGAGTCAATTTATTTGTAGATTCACTTATCTTGCAAAAGACGTAGGTACTTATCTGCTAACCAGGCAGAAGTGATAAATCAACAAATCCAGGACTTTTAGTTTATATTTCTTAAATTAATGAAAAAAATAATTTTAAATGAAATTAATTATTTGCTTTTTAAAAATTAGTTGTTTTATTTTTGAAATTGTTTACATTGCTGTTTTTCCCCCCTTTACTTTTGAAATTGTTTTTCATTTATGGAGAAATGCAGAACAGCCATACTGTTGTTAGAATTTTCAGCAAACATGATCACCTAAAGTTTGAAATTTGCAATATAAGAATTGCTCGTCTTGCTCATGTTTTAGACAAATTAAATGACATAGAGTTTAACTGTTAGTTGCACAATTAGTTTTTATTAAACTAATATAATTTTTAGCTCTTTAAAGTAGTATTTATTTACTATTATCAAGTAACATTAATAAGACTAATAATTTTTTTAAAGATTTTTTTATATATACTGAAACTGTATTAAATCTATAGTGCTAGCATTTTTATTTTAACTATAAAACTTCTAAATTATACATAAATTATAAAATTGCATTTCCAGTATTGATAACAATTTATTTTGAAATTACAGAAAATGAAACTATTTCTTTTGAGATTTGAGAATGTGCGTGGTAAATTTCATCAGAACTGTTAGTTTTTATACCATTTTATTTTTAATAAAAGGAATGGTAAACAAAATGAGAATCTTTTATTTCAATTTACTCATACAATGTGTGGAGATATGAAAAATTACACCTTTCTTACAACTGACTTTTAAATACTAATTTTAATGATTTTTCCGATATTAAAAAATGTAATATTTCCATGATTTTTTAATGATAAAATTATGAAGCTATAAATCTTGTGAATGTCCTGATTAATTTATCCTTTCATGTCGACTGCCATGCAGGAATGCTAGCATGAAACACATTCACTTTCCCAGCTGGCACACCATTATGACAGAACGTTTTCTCATATATCCTCATCTGTTATTCACTCTTGTCAGAGTTTTGGAACATTTTAGAAATTAATATTTTTTGGCTCAAAATGTATTATATGTCCATAGGATTTGAGATACATGTAGATTTGACTCTACTCAAAATAAGACAAAGATCACTCATAGGCACTTGAATTTTGATTATATAAACATAAGACAAAAGGCAGATTCTTTCTTTGCAGGTTTTCTGATGGGGCTCTTTAAATGCATGCACATGGTATTTATTGATGAATGTTGGCCTCTCTCCTTTTTTTAATGCTTAGAACATTTGGTTTGTCTTTAGATGCTTAAATTGTATTTATTGATCAGTGTTATGGGAGGTTTTTTGGGGGGGGTGGTTAGAGCACTGGGTATTAGCGTTGGCAGTCTGGTTTCTAATTGAGATTTATATTTGAAATATTTCTGTTTTGAGTGTTACCATGTTGATGTGTCAAAACATTTTAACAAATTATGCAAATCAAAATCAGGTTATATCTGTAAATTTATGATTTATACAGGAAAAGGGACACAGTTAAAAGAGACTTCAGGATTATGTAGGGAGTTGTTAAATTTCTTTTTGATGAACTTTCTGATCAAGAGCACCATTTATATATGGATTGTTTTTTCATGTCTCCATCGCTAGTGGATGAATATTGGTGAAATGGATGAATATTGGCTGGTGGTTGAAATAAATAGTGTAATGAGGAGACAGAAAGAAGCAATTGAAAATTGTTCAGCTGCCCAAAATGAAAATTGCTTAGATATTGGTTTTGCAGAAAAAGAAACTAAACTTACTTTCAATGACAAATGGAAACTGCTTGTTCAAATGAAAGTACAATGGTGATGCTGCATTTTTTCACACTCCTGCAAAAATCCTCCAAAATGGCAAATGAGCTATTATGAATGCAAAATTGTAACACAGAAGCTGATTTAAAATCTATAACGCTAAAAATAAAATTTAAGCAAAGTGTTGAGTTGTCAAATGTACAATTTCAAAAATCACTAACATTTAAGTAAATACTGGGGGGGGGATGTGAGAAATAAGAATAGTTAAACAAAAAAAGTATATGAAGTATGCTAATAAATATATAAAGCATATACCACAGGTATACTTTATATAACATTATTAAACAATGCTCTTATCTTTTCATAATATCATGGAAAACCCATCTGGCCCTAGAGAGATGCTTGCAAAACAAACAAATGGCCCTAGCGGTGCATATCCGTTTGCACTTTTTGCCCGTAAAGGGTTAATTTATAAATATTCATTATGTTTTTTTTTTTAGCTTTCTAAGGTATTTTTATTCTGTATAATTTGTTGCTGTCATATTTCAATCAGTGTTGATTTTTGGAAATTTTACAAGTACATTAAACATGTTTCTTTACAAAATGAGATGAGATTGATGAATGCATTTGGAAAGTAAAATCTGAGCAGATATTTCGATGATATAATTCATTTAAAAATTAGTGTTTCATGAAAAATTCTTCTTATGAAAAACATCATGCATTTAAAATGCATATGCCTAAAGGTAAACAATATATATATATATGTATCTTAGCACTTTTTGTAATGTGTTCAGTTAAAAATGTTTTGTTTAATAAAAGATGATTAATACTTTCATATATAACATGTTTTTTTTTTTCAGAATTTTTTATTGTCTCTACATCAACTACACATACTTCAAAGAAAAACTACTATTATTCACAATGTTGCATCAGGTTCTTCTATTTACAATAAAATTAATGTAAAATTCCTTACCTGCTGCATCTTCAGTGTTCTCGACGCCAGGCTTCTAATAATCACGTTTTCCAGTAAGAGTTTCTATTACAATTAGCAGGCCATCTTGTCTTTTAATTATTTATTGAAATAAAAAGCTAATATACACTATTTACAAGGTAGGTGATAATTATTTTAAAACAGTACATTTTTAGTTCTGAGTCTTTACGCTCCTCAGAGCGGTTCCAATCTCGACTGCTCCTCGGAACTTAATTACAGCAAAAGTAAAGGAAGAGATGCCCGCCACCTAGTGGCAAGAATGTGACATCCTCCCACCTTTTTGATTTTACCTCGATAAGATGGGAAAATCAAAACAAAATTTATCAATAATCAAACAAAAATTCAAGTACAACTTTCACAAATATGAAAAGTAACTAATGCTCTAAAATTAATACTTACAAAGAAGGATTACACATCTAAACATTTTCTGCATTACATTCATACCATATCCAGATAACATGTTCCAATTGACTACTGTTAGGACAATTAAATTTCTAAAATACTGAAAAGAAACAAAAATTAGTATAGCAATTTAAAAATATGTAACAGGGTTTACAGTTTTACGTCCATATCTAGTTTGATAGTTCATATCACTGTCACAC